TTTCCCACAATACAGACATTAATCCATTCATGATGACAGAGTCCACAGGGTCTAATCACCTCTCAAAGTTTCCGCCTCTTACTGCTGAAACAATGGCAATTAAACTTCAGCATGGGTTTGAGGGGACAAACATTCAAACTACGGCACAGCTTACCTGTCAGACACACTCGTGTGCCTGTCCCTGTGTAAGTCACGCGTGTACAGGGGGAAGCAGCAGTCATTTCTGCAGTCACCACCTATGCTCTTGTCTTCTAGACTTCATTCCTGAAATTGCGCGTGATCCGTTCTCACTGGATCATCCCGGGGCAGTACACAGAGACGCTGTGTTCATGGAGCTGATGAGAGCATGGCTGCTTGTGGCCCATGTAATAGGTAAGTAGGAACAGGGTAAAAGACTCTATCTTCCCTCCTGGCGGGAGATCCCTGAAGTTCAAGTCAAAATATGGGAGAATTCTTGCATTTCCACTCGGAGTCCTTTTGACCTCTTCCTCTTTTACTTTTTTTTAAAGATGTGAGTTGCTCTTCTAGCATCCAGAAGATAATCATTCGTTTCCATTAGAAACAAGATGATGTACAACCCCTGTAGTATAGTTTCTATACCTTAGTTTTTCTCCCTCTTTATTAGGTTCTTCTTTGGACCCTTACAATAAATACCACCACTGCTTGTGATTCCCTTTCTTCATTCCTGACTGTCGGAAGGATTGTCTGTAAGAGCTGACTTTTCAGTTGAGTACAGGGCTTCTGATGGCCACTCACCTTGGTACTCCTGACACTGACTTTTGGATTTTCTGCTTACTGTCATTGATTTCTTTCCCTTTATGCCAAGCCTAGGCTAAAGGCATAATTATTTGCAGATAGCATTCTATCATGGCTGGCCATGCTTACTCTAAAGGGAGGCAACTCACTTCTGTGATTGACTTTGTGATTTTTTTTTTTAAGACAGAGTTTTGCACTGTTGCCCGGGCTGGAGTGCAGTGGCATGATCTCAGTTCACTGCAATCTCCCCCTCCTGGGTTCAAGCAATTCTCCTGCCCTCCCGAGTAGCTGGAATTACAGGTGCCCACCACCATGCCCAGCTAATTTTTGTATTTTTAGTAGAGACAAGTTTTCATCATGTTTGCCAGGATGGTCTGGATCTCCTGATTTCATGATCTGCCTGCCTCGGTCTCCCAACGTGCTGGGATTATAGGCATGAGCCACCACACCAGATGACTTCATGAGCTTTTAACTGTGGGACTGTGGCAAGCTAGTCAACTCTTCTTTGTCTTTGCCTGATCATCATCAAAAAGTGGGACATAATAGCAACTATGTTTTCAGGATTAAGTGAGCTAATAGGGATAAATGTCCAGCATAGCATGAGACCTCCCTAAATTATTCTTTATTTTATTTTATCTGTTTTTTGAGATGGAGTTTTGCTGTTTTGCCCAAGCTGGAGTGAAGTGGCATGATCTTGGCCCACTGCAACCTCTGCCTCCTGGGTTTATGCAATTCTCCTGCCTCAGCCTCCTGAGTAGCTGGGATTACAGGCAGCCACCACCATGCCCAGCTAATTCTTTTGTATTTTAGTAGAGACAGGGTTTTGCCATGTTGACCAGGCTGGTCTTGAACTCCTGACCTCAGGTGGTCAACTGGCCTCAGCCTCCCAAAGTGCTGGGATTGCAGGCTACAGGAGTGAGCCATAGCACTTGGCTTCATTATCCTTCATTATGATCAAGATCACTATTTCCATTTCTGTCTATATATTGCAACCTCAATTCATGGTGATGAGAATCTGCTCACTATGTTTTCATCAGCATGGATAGCATGGACGTATCGGAAATATTAATTTTATTCAAGAAGACAGAAAGACAGTGCCCAAGAGGATTTTATGAAAATCAGGTGGATCTTAGAGTTCCTACTCTCCTGTCCTTGATTTAAGTTATGTTTAGAGCTTAGTTTTGGTGGTGACTGTCACTAAGAGATGTTTGTGCCACATGAAGGCCACAGGAGCCATAATCTTCACACATGAGGGGTCTCCAGGGAACAGAATGGTGCGCTGGGTGACGAGTCTCCTGTCTCTGCTGTGGCATTGAAAGTGCAGCCTTGCAGACAAGTTCCCACAACTGTCCTATGAGGAGATGTGATTGGTGGGCATCGGAGGGTCTTAGCAGCAATAAAACATCATGTTCCATAGAATAACCCTCTGTGGGCCAGTGCGGTGGCTCACACCTGAACCCCAGCACTTTGGGAGGCAGAGGTAGCCTAATCATTTGAGATCAGAAGTTTGAGACCAGTCTGGCCAATATGGCGACACCCTGTATCTACTAAAAATACAAAATTTAGCCGGCGTGATGACGGGTGCCTGTAATCCCAGCTACTCAGGAGGCTGAGGCAAGAGAATCACCTGAACCCAGGAGTGAGGGGCTTCAGTGAGCCAAGATCGCACCACTGCACTCCAGCCTTGATGACAGAAAAAAGAAAGAAAAGAATAACCCTCTGTGTCTGATCCTAAGTGCTTCATGTGGAAATCTATGCAAGAGACACTGCAGGCTAAACCCAACATGCATTCGAACAGTGACCTGAGCACATTTTCCATCATGCGCGTATGGTAACTACTAGGGGAGCTGGCTGTTGAACCAGATGGCATCCAGTTTCCCCCAGACAGTTAACTCTCAGAATTACGCATTTAGAACATTGCTAGTAAATATTTGGAAAAAAGAAATTTTAATTTCATTTTTTTCTTCAAGCATGGTACATGGAGATTGTAGAAAATAAGATACACGCCTTGGCTCTTGAAAGCAAATTACAAGTTGCATCACACTTGATTTATACTCTCCGGCTTTTCTTAGTGGTTTTTGGAAATTAATGAGGTGATTGCTTTTAAAGACTATATAAAGTCCATTGCATTAAAGACAGAACAAAAAGGCATATTTTTCAGATTACTATTAAAGGGGGATGTAAAGGATACCATGGTGAGGCCAATATATCAGATTAGTACTGTCCAGTGGAAATACAACACAAGCTGCATATGTTACTTTAAGTTTGGTAGTAATCCCAGCTACTCAGGAGGCTGAGGCAGGAGAATTACTTGAGCCCAGGAGGCAGAGGAGGTTTCAGTGAGCCAAGATCGTGCCACTACACTTCAGCCTCGGTGACAGAGTGAGACACTGTTTAAAAAAAAAAAAAAAAAAAAAAAAAGAAAAGAAAACAGGGGAAAAAAAAAAAAAGAGTAACCCTCTGTGTCTGATCCTAAGGGCTTCATGTGGAAATCTATGCAAGAGACACTGCAGGCTAAACCCAACATGCATTCGAGCAGTGTGACCTGAGTACATTATCCATCATACAATCATGGGCTGGGATTACATTTAAAAAGTTTTAAAAACGACATTAATTTTATTTTAATTTTTAATTTAATTTAATTTTTTTTTTGACACGAGGTCTCACTTTATCACCCAGGCTGGAGTACAGTGGTGCCATCTTGGCTCACTGCGACCCCCGCCTCCAGGGCTCAGCCTCCCAAGTAACTGGGACTACAGCCACTCACCACCAGGTCTGGCTAATTTTTGTATTTTTTTGTAGAGATGGGGTTTTGCCATGCTGCTCATGCCTGGTCTCAAACTCCTGGGCTTAAGTGATCTGCCCACCTTGGCCTCCCAAAGTGCTGATATTAAAGACATGAGCCACCATGCCTGGCTCAGAAATTAATTTTAATGCCATGTTTTATTTAAGTATAGAATATCTAAAACCTTGTCATTTTGACGTCATCGACGTAAAAAGGTTAATGAACTGTTATACAAACCTCTTTCATATTAAGTCTTCAAAATCCAAGTTGCACTTTACACTGACGGCACCTCTCACTGTGGACGTTCCAGGTTCCATGAACTCAGTGATCATGTGAGGGTCACGTCTGCTGTGTTGGATGATGGCAATTTACAAGAAACAATTCAGAGAATCTCCTGGCCCCTTTCTCAGTTTGTTGAGTGTCCACAGTGGCTACGCTAGACCGGCAGATGCTGCAGCTCTCCATGACTTTGCATTTCTGCTCCATCTTTCTGGACCATTCTGCCCACCACCCTCCCTCCACCCCGTGTCCCTCTGACAAATCCTTGTTCTTCCTTCAAAATTTCAACCACGTGTCAACAGCCTGGGGAAGAGTTTTATACCCTAGCTTCTAGACACAATTAATTTGGTGTTCTATTTTTACCCTTGACTTACTTTATCATTTATATGTATTTGTTTTCATGTCTTTTTCTCTACTGTGAGTATCTTGCAGGCATGAACTGTGTATATCACACTTATTACCACAATGAATATAAATGCTAATGTACTGTATGTGCTATAATAAATAAATGGCTCTAGATCTTAATTTTAAACTCACGCGTAAGGACCTTTCCATGGGCTGAACTTTGCTTCTTACGCAGTCTGTTTACAAAGAGTGCTGGAAAAGCCAAATCAGATATTGGTTTCATGCAATGTAACAGAATCATACTAATAAATTTTAATAATTAATAGTAAAATATTAATATTACCTTTTTAAAAATGTACCTTTTAACTCTCATTTTAAAGTTTAGCATATGTGCATGCTTGTTATACAGGTAAACTGTGTCATGGGGGTTTGTTGTTCAGGTTATTTCATCACCCAGGTATTAAGCCAGTATCCATGAGCTATTTTTCTGGATCCTCTCCCTCTTCCACTCTCCACCCTCTAGGAGGTGCCAGTGTGTCTTGTTCCTCTGTATGTGTCTGTGTGATCTCATCATTTAGCTCCCACTTATAGGGAGAACATGTGATACTTGGTTTTCTGTTCCTGCGTTAGTTTGCTAAGGATAATGGTCTCTAGCTTCATCCATGTTCCTGCAAAGGACATAATCTCATTCTTTCTTATGGCTGTGTAGTATTCCATGGTGTATATGTGCCACATTTTCTTTATCCAGTCTGCCATTGATGGACATTTAGGTTGATGCCATGTGTTTGCTATTGTGAATAGCGCTGCAGTGAAAATACACATGCATGTGCCTTTCTAATAGAAAGAAGCATATTCCTTTGGATATCTATCCAGTAACAGGACTGCTGGGTCAGATGATATTTCTGTTTTTAGGCCTTTGAGGAATTACCACACTGTCTCCCACAATTGTTGGACTAATTACACTCCCATCTGCAGTGTATAAGGGTACCTTATTTTCTGCAACCTTGCCATTATCTATCATTATTTGGCCTTTAATAATAGCCACTCTGACGGTGTCTCATTGTGGTTTTGATTTGCACTTCTCTAATGACCAGTGAGGTTGAGCTTTTTTTCATTTGATTGTTGGTCACATGTACGTCTTCTTTAGCAAAGTGTTTGTTCATGTCCTTTGCTCACTTTTTGAAGGGGTTGTCTTTTTCTTGTAAATTTGTTTAAATTATAGATGCTGCACATTAGACCTTTGTTAGATGCATAGTTTGCAAAAATGTTCTCCCATTCTGTAGGTTGTCTGTTCGTTCTGTTCATGGTTTCCTTTGCTGTACACAAGCTCTTTAGTGTAATTAGATCCTATTTGTCAATTTTAGCTTTTGTTGACTTTTAGTGTCTTTTAATTGCTTTTAGTGTCTTCATCATGAAATCTTTGCTGATTCATATGTCCAGAATAGTTATGTCAAGGTTATCTTCCAGGGTTTTTATAGTTTAGGGTTTTTGTAATTTGGGGTTTTACATTGAAGTCTCTAATCCAGCTTGAGTTATTTTTTGTGTATGAGGTAAGCAAGCAGCCCAATTTCAATCTTCCTCATATGGCTAGCCAGTTATCCCTGTACCATTCATTGACTAGGAAGTCCCCCATTGCTTGTTTTTGAATAGGAAGTCCCCCATTGCTTGTTTTTGTCAGGTTTGTCGAAGATGAGATAGTTGTAGGTGTGTGGCCTTATTTCTGGGTTCTGTATTCTGTTCCATTTGTCTGTGTGTCTGTTTTTGCACTAGTAACATGCTATACTGCATCCCTGTAGTATAGTTTGAAGTCAGGTAACACAATGCCTTGCCGCCAGCTTTGTTCTTTTTGCTTAGGATTGTCTTGGCTATTTGGGATTCTTTTTTTTGTTCCATATGAATTTTAAAATAGAATTTTTTTAAAACTTCTGTTTAGAATGTCATTGGTAGTTTCATAGGAATGGCATTGAATCCATAAATTGTTTTGGGCAGTATGGTCATTTAAATGATATTGATTTCCCATCCATGACATTGGAATGTTTTTCCATTTGTTTGTGTTATCTCTGATTTCTCTGAGCAGTGTTTTGTAGATCTTTTGTCACCCTGGTTAGCTGTAGTCCTAGGTATTTTATTTTCATTTTTGTGGCAATTGTAGATGGAATTGCATTCCTGATTTGGCTTGGTTTGACTATTGTTGGTGTATAGGAATGTTAGTAATTTTTGCAGTTTTGTATCCTGAAACCTTGCTGAAGTTGTTTATCAGCTTAAGGAGCTTTTAGACTGAGACTGTGGGGTTTTCTTGATATGGAATTGCATTGTTTTACAGCAGATAGTTCGACTTCTCTTTCTATTTGGATGCCTTTATTTCTTTCTCTCGTCTGACTGCCCTGGTTAGGACTTTCAATACGTAATGAATAGGAGTGGCATCCTTGTCTTCTGTTGTTTTTCAAGATGAATGCTTCCAGCTTTTGCCCGTTCAGTATGATGTTGACTATGGGTTTGTCATAGATGGCTCTTATTATATGAGGCATGTTCCTTCAATACGTAGTTTATTGAGAGTTTTTAACATGAAGCGCTGTTGAATTTAATATTTATTTAATGTACCTTTATTTTTAAATTTACTATCCTCAATCTTTGTAGATATACCTTCTAATGAGCTCAATGATCGGGTAACCAGGAAGCAACCTAAATTTGTCTGAAACTAAATGCAGCTTTCAAAAAAGGTAAGTAGATTTTGTCAAGAAAGAAGAGGACTGGGCATGGTGGCTCACTCCTGTAATCCCAGGACTTGGCTAGGCCGAGGTGGGCAGACTGCTTGAGCCTAGGAGTTGGAAACCAGCCTGAACAACATGGTGAAACCCCATCTCTACAAAAAATAATAAAAAAAAATTATCTGGGCATGGGGGTGGACGCCTGTAGTCTCAGCTATTTGGGAGGCTAAGGTGGGAGAATTGATTAAGCCTGAGAGATTGAGGCTGCAGTAAGCCAAGATCACACAACTGCACTCCAGCCTGGGTGACAGAGAGAGACCCTGTCTCAGGAAAAAATAAATAAAGAAAGAAGAAGAGGAAAGAAGGAGAGATAAGATGCATATGAAGACCATCTTATGAGAGTGACAGGGCAGTAAAATATGATGGACCACAGAGTTAATACAAGAAATTACTAAGAGTCCAGCTTTTATATTGAGTAATGGGTTCACAGGTTTGATATTACTCAAAATAACTAACAAATAGATTATTGAATGAATAATATAAAATAAGAAGTATAAAAAGAACCTAAGCACTTTGAGAGGCCAAGGTGGGCAGATCACCTGAGGTGAGGAGTTTAAGACCAGCCTGGCCAACATGGTGAAACACTGTCTCTACTAAAACTACAAAAATTAGCCAGGTGTGGTGGCACATGCCTGTAATCCCAGCTACTGGGGAGGCTGAGGCGGAAGAATCACTTATATCTGGGAGGTGGCGGTTGCAGTGAGCCCAGATCGTGCCGTACACTCCATCCTGGGCGACAGATGGGACCCTATCTCAAAAAACAAAAACAAAACAAACAAACAAAAAAACCCACCCGTATTCAAATTCCGTGCACTATACTCAGTTAAGGCACATATATTTTCTTGTGCTTTTCCACATTGAGGACACCCGGTTGACGGTTCACGTCTCATCCTTCTCTTTGATTCGTTCAACCCTTCCCAGGTTGCTTTTTTTCTCACTTAAATATTTTTCCCTAGAATTCTTTTACAGTTTCTCACAATTTTAAACTTCTTGATTACTTTAATACTGCACCTGTTAAGTATCTACACATCTTTGTACAGGATTACCCATTGCTGCATAATCATTCCAACACCTGACGGCTTAAAAAGTGTCTTATCTTTTTTTTTTTTTTTTTGAGACGGAGTTTCGCTCTTGTTACCCAGGCTGGAGTGCAATGGCGCGATCTTGGCTCACCGCAACCTCCGCCTCCTGGGTTCAGGCAATTCTCCTGCCTCAGCCTCCTGAGTAGCTGGGATTACAGGCATGCACCACCATGCCCAGCTAATTTTTTGTAGTTTTAGTAGAGACGGGGTTTCACCATGTTGACCAGGATGGTCTCGATCTCTTGACCAGGATGGTCTGGATCTCTTGACCTCGTGATCCACCCGCCTCGGCCTCCCACAGTGCTGGGATTACAGGCGTGAGCCACCGCGCCCGGCAAAAGTGTCTTATCTTTGAGAAATCTGTGCGTTGCCTGGGCTTGACAGGGTGACTGTTGCGTGCCAGCCCTCACTTGGTAATAGATGCTGCCAGGGCTGCTGTCGCCTCTCTGGGACTGGACATCTAAGGTGGGTGGCAGGTCGGGAATGTTGGCTGTCAGCTGGGAATGCAGCAGGGGCTGTTCACACACGCACTGCCCAGGACCTTTTCCTGTGGCTCAGGCTTCTCACAGGTTCTAAGAGCAGAAACTTCACATCTTCTTATAATGTAGCATTTGGAAAACTCAGGAAGTCACTCCTGCTGTTTTCTACTGATCAAATGAGCCACTAAGGCCATAACCAGGGGAGGGGGATTAGACCCCACCTCTCACTGGGAAGAGCAGCACAAAATTAGTGGCTGTATTTACTACATTTCTTCTTACATATCTTTTAATATGCTAGAAGTGTTTTAATTCAATGATGTTTTAAAAATCTTAAGCTTAATTTTAAGATGAAAATATATTCTCACAAGTACATATAGTTTGGATAAAAAGTCACTGCATATTCATCCCATTTAAAGTTTAATATGATTGGCTTCCATAGAATCACTGAACGCGTATGCAATCTGTGATTAAGTAATTAAATGGAAACTGTCCAGTTGACCTTGAGGGAGCATCTGCATGTAGATAGCACACATGGTGATGAACTGGCTGCAAAATATGACCACGATGCATTTGAAGTCAAACACTAAAAGCATTGTTGGGCCATTTGTTCTTTTTATTGAGTGACATTTCTTCCTTTCTTCCTACCTCTGGACAATGAGCATGGCTTTTATCCAGAGACTTTACAGCCACTTAATACTAAACACGTGTGCCCCTACGCCTCCCTTCAAGGTTGGTGTCAGCACCTCTTCCTTGTTGTGGCAGACTATAATTATATTTTTCAAAAAGGATCTCAGTAATGTGCCCTGTCCCATAGGCTCTTTGTTTCTCTTTTAAAATAAGCTTTAGTTTTTGAAAACAGCTTTAGACTATTGATAGGACAACGGTGGAGATGCTACAGCGAGTTTCTAAGTACTCCACACCCATTTCCCTTATGATTAGCATCTGACATTAGTATGGTACATTTGTCGCAGTTAATTAACTTATATTGACGCATTGATTTTAACTGAAGTCCCAACTTTATTCAGGTTTCCTTGCTTTTTACCCAGTGCCCCCGTTGTGCTCCAGGAGCCTACCTAGGATCCTGCACTGCTGTCACGACTTCTTAGCTCCTCGGTTGGGACGTTCTGCATGCACTTTGGCCCTTCTCTCATGGAGAGATGGGGCCTGTTTTCCGCCCCGGCTCTGCCAGGCTACTGACTACAGCGCCGGTGATGCCATGTGACTCCTGATACCCCACCAGAAAAACTATAAGGCTTCCAGCCGTTCCTTTAGGTGACTAGCTCTGGGAGCCCAGTCATGCTGTGAGGAAGCTTAAACCAGCTCACTTGGAGACACCACATGGAGAAGACACGTGTGGATGTTTCTGCTGACAACTCAGCTGTGATTCTGGTCAACATCCCACATCAACTACCAGACATGAGACTTAAGATGTTTCCCATCAATTCCAGCCTCTAATCATTGAGTCACCCCAGAATCGAGTCTTCAGCTGAGGCTCCAGACATCACAGAGCAGAGACAAGCCAATCCCTCCTTGCCTGGTCTGACCTTGACACACAATACGGAAGGAAAATACAGTGGTTATTTTATGACACAAGTGTGGGTTGTTACAAAGCTGTACTAACCAGAGCACTTGATATTTCA